GGCGGGTGGGTGGCCGCACCCAGTTCTTCCCCAGCCTGAAAGCTTGGCCGCATCTTTGGACTGCTCCAGTAAAGAGGCCCACCGGCTTCTCCCGACCGTGGGGACAGTCCACCAGAGCGAGGGGGAGCCGGGACTATGTCTATACACGCGGCTTCTTGTGCCAGAAATATGCAAATGAGGCTAAGCGTGGAATATCGCCGAGCCTCATTTGCATACCTAATGAGCCGCCATTTTGGCAGAAGCACTTGCACCAGAAGGAGCCGTCTACACTGCCTTGCTACTTTTCGGGAAGAACGGCGTTGCGCAAGTGGGTTTTGTTGTGCAAGAAGGGGCAGTGTAGACAGCTCCTGGCGCGAGAGCCTCTTCTGCAAAAATGGTGGCTCATTAGGGATGCAAATGAGGCTCGGTGATATTCCACAGTTAGCCTCATTTGCATATTTCTGGCGTAAGAAGCCGCGCGTGTAGACATAGCCCTGAGTTCTCTTTCCCCCACTGACCCCTAGCGGGGTCACAGCTCGGCCAGAGCTCTCGGGCTGCTTTTTCATTTCTGCCTCCGACTCACGGCCTGCAAAAATGGTGGCTCATTAGGGATGCAAATGAGGCTCGGTGATATTCCACAGTTAGCCTCATTTGCATATTTCTGGCGTAAGAAGCCGCGCGTGTAGACATAGCCCTGAGTTCTCTTTCCCCCACTGACCCCTAGCGGGGTCACAGCTCGGCCAGAGCTCTCGGGCTGCTTTTTCATTTCTGCCTCCGACTCACGGCCCCACTGCCCCCCCGCAGCGGCAGCCCTGCCCCCTCATGACTAGCCACTTCTCAAGCCTGTTTGCAAACACTCCCAGCCAGCCCGGCCCTCAGCTCCCATGTGCACCCGGCTGGAAATCCCAGCAGTGACCCATCTGGAGCGCACATCTGGCATGTGCAGGTGCCACTAACACCCAGTCTTCCAGCCAAAGGTCTCAAACCACGTTTTAAACAGGCAGGGCTCCCCCCCTCCCCCCCCCCCGCTTCTCATCGTCCCACGCCGGAGCACCAACCAGTCAGCGTGCTAGTGTGCGCCGCTTAGAGGGTCAGCAGAGATACAAACCCTACAGCAAATGGCAGAGTTGTTGACACGAGTCCCACGACTTGAACTCGAGTCCGACCTAAGTCGCTGAGGTGACTCGACTCGAGACTCGACTCTGGTTCATTGTTTGTGACTTTAGTCACTAATTTAGTTAAATCAACTTGGTGAAAAAATTGTCCGAAAAGGCCGATATCGATGGCTTGTACAAAAGTGACTCGACATTTTTTAAATTAAGACTTGAGACTTGACTTGGGACGTGACTCGAAAGTGACTTTAGGGACTTGAGACTCGAACTGTAGTGACTTGGACTTGACAATGACGACTTGAAGACAACACTAGTGGATGGAAGCCACCGGCCTCAGCAACCCCTTCCTCAGCATGCTCAGAAGGAGCTTCAGCTGAGACCCTCCTCGATTTTCCCCCCCTGTACAATGGGCGCGAGAACTGCAAAGTGCAGCAAGCTCTGGGTCCCGCAGCTGGAGCCCGGCCGGAGCTCAGCCACCCAGCAAATCCAGTGGGAGGCCGGAAGCGAGCTGGGTAGCTGCAGTGCTGCTCTCAGGACTGATGAGAAGCAGACAGAAGGGGGGCTAGACAGACAAGCTGGAATCCCACTAGGAATCGTGTGAGCGAACACAGGTGTGTGGCCCATCCCCTCGGCTCTGCGGATGGGCCCAGCTGTGGCCAGCGAGGGTGGCCGGCCTGACGGGGGGAGCGACTTTACCCACCACAGCACAGGCTGCGCCCAGGGCTGCAGCTGAAAGGAATGGTTCAGTGACCCTCGCGCTGTGCTACTGTCGTCCCATGTATTCCCCAGGGAGCTGAGGGTGCTCCGCACCTCAGGGAACCAGCCCCCCCAGCTAGGTCCCCGCAAGGGAGGCTGGCGCCTCACCCTGGGCCTCTCGTTGAGAAATTCTGGCCTAAATGGTTTCCCAAGTCAGTGGCAGAGCGAGCTGGAGTCTCTCGCACGCACACGCACACGCACCCCCCCCCCACTGTGCATCGCACACTTTCACGGAAAAGGCCCCAGCCCTTCCCACGTGGGTGTCGGTCTTTTCCTTTTCTCTCCTGCTGTGAGCGCCGTGGGTGGAGAACTGGAGACAGTCGTTCCTAAGAAACCCGCAGCTCCGGTTTCCCGGCTGCACCGCGTGCTGCAGCGGTTGGGTGAACACGCTCTCCACGGCGCCCGGGGAGTCTGTGCTCTTAACTATTTTTTCCTCAGTTACAGCCCAGTGCAGCAAGCTCTGCTAGAGCATTTGAAGGACACAGATCTCATCTCCGCTTCAAACTCTTTGCTCGTGGAGCCCGGGAGACGGAGGAGCCTGGCAATTCAAGTCTGGCCATAACGTGTCGCTACGTGCAGCAGAATCCTAGAGCACTAGAACCAGAAGGGACCTCGAGAGGCATCCCCTGCCCACGGCAGGACCCAGCACTGGCTAGACCACCCCTGACAAGGTCTGTCCAGCCTGCTCTTAAATATCCCCAGTGATGGAGATTCCACAACCTGCCCGGGCAACTTATTCCAGTGTTCCACCCTGACAGGAAGCTTTTCCTAATGTCCAAGCTAAACCTTCCTCACTGCAGTTTGAGCCCATTGCTTCTTGTCCAGCCTCTGCTCTGTAAGGATGTTAAGTATCGTGTAATTCACTCATCGAATAGTCGATGCATTTTTGCATCGACTATTTGATGAGTCGATAGGGCGGTGCTGCCCCTTTGAAACACCGCGGCGTTTCTAAGGGGCAGGGCTGCACAGCTGATCCCGGGCTCCATGTGGTGCTGCCGCTTTGAAACACCGTGGCGTTTCTAAGGGGCAGCGCTGCACAGCTGATCCCGGGCTCCATGTGGCGCTGCCGCTTTGAAGTACCCCCTCTTCTCCCCTTCCTGCCTCTAGCTGATAGAGGCAGCGAGGGGGGGAGACGACTAGTCAACTATCGGGTAGTCGACTAGTCCTTAACTAGGATAGTCGACTTGTCTGCCCAGATGGTGACACCCAGGGACACATGGGCATGTCTCCAGCACTCCCTGCGGCTGATGCTTGTATGACACTGTGCTTGGCCCTAGGGTGGCCGCTATCATTATATTTACCTGGCCAATGGAAGCAGACTGGGACACCGATTCCCGCAGCTCCTATTGGCTGGGAACGGCGATCCGCAGCCAATGGGTGCTGCGATCGCCCGTAGCTGCAGAGGCAAAGGTAAATATAACACGGGGGCCTGCCAGGGACTAACCCAGGGGGACCAGACCTGGCCCATGGGCTGGTATTTGCCCACCCCTGGGTTATAGCCTGGCCATTCCTGGCTTGAAGGTGCAACGACTCCATCACAGGAGTTGCTGCCCTGCCAGTGGGAAGCAACTGCCCAGCTGAAGGACACCAGACTAGCCCAGGGGTGGGGGCTTGAGACCACCTCCAGGGGAGTGGCACCCATCCTGGATCCGCCCTGCTCCCCTACTATGCATACGCTCCCAGGGCCCACCCCCTTTCAGTCCTGGGGCCTGCCCACAGGCCCAGTCCGGCAGTCAGGACAACAGCCCACACCCCGGAGTGCGGTTCTCCATGGATCTGCCACGGTGGGTTCCCCAGGCACGTCACTGCATGCACCCCTCTATCAGCTCTCCCTGTCAGCCCTGCCGCTGCCCTAATGCTCACGCTGGGCCCAGCCCTGGGCACCTTTCCTCAGGCGGATCAGTGCAGCCCTCTCCGTGGTGCCTGGCTTAGGCAAAGCAGCCAGCTCTGTCTGCCCAAGGTCATACAGGAGCTGGGAACAGAACCAATGGCTTCCTATGTCATTCCAGGCTCCTGGGCCACGCTTCCTGCTTTGCCTGCCACAGTACAGTAATCGGGGAACCCTCAGAAACCTGCTTGCGAGTCTAGTTCTAGGGTGCACGAGCTCTGCTCCCCTACATGCATGTGCTCGCATTTACTTCCCAAGAAGCTGCACAGTTGGGAGCAGGACTGTGACATCAGACCCCGGCACTGAAAACAGTAAAGCCCCCGCTGGTCCCCAGAAAGGCAGACAGGCGGTTATGTAATTACCTGGGTCAGCCTACAACCGATCCCCCCTTTTATTCTTCCGAGAACAAGCCAGGCCCTGAAAGGACTCTTCTAGGGTCAGAGCGGGAAAAGGCAACTTTGCTCAAAATGGCCCCAATGGCAAGGACACGGGAGAGGAAATGCTGAGTTACAGGCGTGCTAGGAAAAGATAAGAGCAGCTAGAAAGCAGAGGGAAGTAGGGTGACAGGCGTTAACAAGGATGAGAAGGGCTCTTAGATATGCCGGCTGGGGGAGAAAAGCGGCAGCATTAATAACGGAGGAAGGAGATGAAACTGGTGATTTAAAAACTGCTGAGCTAATGAACTGGCTTTTCCCAAATCTGCCTCTGATGGGCAAAGATTAAAAGTTTGGAGGAACAGGAAATAATGAAGAGCTTGTACAGATCTAAGGGTCTGCCTAGACCAGAAAGCGCTGCGGCTTTAACCAGGATAATTAGAATAGCACAACACTAGGCATTGGACTGGTATATCAGTAAAAAATTATTAAAACTTCTCCTCCTCCATCCCCCTCTCACACCAGTAAAACGGGACTAGCCTGACGCGAGTACATGGAATCAATGAATGTACCCAAATCAGCACCCAGATTATCCTGTTTGAATGGAATTCGTTCATCGCCATGGATTTAACGAATTATTGTCTATATGTGTTCTAATGTCCCAGAGAACTGAATATGGAAGTCGTGAAAACATGTCACTGGTTTTCAAAAAAGCAAAGCAAGTCGATCCTGGCAATTCCTGCTTGGTATAATTAGCTCCGCTGC